TATATATATATAATATGCATGAACTGCTGAGACATTTTGGAGATTGGAGTTTCAAAACAATGGCAGCCCAACTTATTATGGACTAGCTGTTAGCTTGTCTCTTCGATTAGGCCTAGTGTAAATTTTATTTCTCAAATTCAAGGCAATTTTAAGAGCCATCTACAACAAGTAAGATGTTGTTTGTTCACAACCTTTCCACACAACTCCACTTGAAATGATTTAACCTATCTCTTTAAATGTGACTTTTGTGCATCTCTGGTAGAGTTGCATTCGGGCCCAAAAAATCTGATCCAACCTGGCCCCAACCTGCAGCCATCATTTCCGAACGCCACCCGACCCGACGAATTAACAGTAATTACTGGTCCAAACCCGAATTTTTTTTCCTGTCATTTTTAATTAAGCCTTGACTGCTTATATAGTTATTAACGGTCGGCGGATGCACGTGGCTGAATAAAAGGGGCAGAAGATCAGAGCTGAGGGGGTGTCTGTTCTTTCATGGCCGTCAAAGCGCATCAAAACCCTGCCTCTGCCTGCATTCTGCATTATTCAGACACGGACCCTGATCTGACATGTCTGCTTTGGGATCTCACCAGTTTGGGTCGTCGGCCGTGCGCGTCTGTTGAGTGCAGCAGCTGAACGTCCATTTGGGTTTTGATGGATCACTGCCTGGCAGTATAGTCCAATCTGAAGATTAACTGAACTTTATTTTACCTCTTTCAAGGCCAGTCTCGTGGTGAAATGGCCGCGTGAGGTTGGTGAATGTATGACAAGTCATGTTGCCATATGATTGGAAGTATGGCAAGCCATGTTGCCATATAATTAGATTGCAGTTGATCCGCTGACACAATCAAAAGCACAACACCAACCCGGCCCGCCCATCCAGCACACTATTATGGTTTCGGGCCCGGGTTAGAAATGACAGCTCTAATCTCTGGTCCAATTGTGTTACTTGCTTTGTAGTCACTAACATGACACAGTAACACATATTTATTATGTTGATAACGTTTTTGTAGTCGTATTGCTTTGATGTAGTTTAAAAGTTTGCAGTTGCAGATACGAGTTTGTGTGAACAAACAATGAATGAATCCGACGAAGCAAATATGTTGAAGTTCAACCAAACACTGGTCCTAACGTTGCATTTCAATGTTTGACCTAATAAAAATAGAAAAGAACACAGCAGACCAAGTTTTTTTATTTTTATAATTGCATGTACAAGATCATTTTCATCCTCTTAAAGCCTTTTGAGACTTTCTTTTCCAGCTTGGATTATCAAAACTAGAGCAATTACACAACATTTCAGTAATACGTGGTGAGTGATTTCTTAGTTTTCATACTAAAAGCACTTGTGGTTTAGGAAAATTAGTATCTTAAGTCCAAGTTTTATTTTATTTCTTTAATTTTCTTCTTTTTGGGGGGGTTTGTCCAGAATTTCAGTTTATCAGATGAGGTTGAACAGCAGCGCTCGCCTTCTGATATTTACAGACTTCTCAGAAAACTTTCCTTGCATGGTATTGTGCTTGAGAATAAAGCAGCATTTCATACATGAAACAACACAAAGTGAAAACTGGCGTTGTAACCTCTGCTTGCTGCAAAATGGAGTTTTTCAAATTGTTATTTCTATTTTGTTTTATCTCACTGTCCTTGCGTTTCATTCGCAAGCCTCCCAGTTTTGGTCCTCTTGTTCATGTGAAAGCTTTTCAAAGAGTCACTGCAGCAGTCTCCCCTGATGAAAGCAACAGCCACAAAGAAAAAATACAAGCAGAGCCGTGAGAGAAAGAATTGTTCAAAGAGCTCCACGGGACAGCACTCGTTCATGTTTTTGCCATACTGTTCATTATGCAGTGCAACGGTCGTACAAGAACTCACCAATAAATTAGGTTCATGTCCATCTCACACACACACACACACACAGAGATCAGGTTTGTGTGTAGGCTCTGGTCCTACATGAGCGCACAGCTTTTGGCTCGGTCCTTTCTAACGGCAGGCGGGTGCTCGTGAATCTCAGTCCGAGGAGGCTGCTGGGAGATCCGCTTGTGGCCGCAGCGCGTGCCGGCGCGTTTGAGCTGAGGCCGATGGATGTTGGACACGGAGGCCAGGGTGGTGACGTGGAAAACGTCCCGGACGCTGTTCTCCGAGTACTTGGAGGTGCACTCCGCGTAGGCCACTGCTCCGATCTGCCTCGCCAAGTTAGTGCCCTGATAAAAGTCAATTAAAAAGTACAAACCTTCAGAGAGTTAGCACAAGCTGTCAACAAAACACAAATTGAATGATAGGGGTATTAGCTTTATGGAATTATTACACCTATTAGCAAACTTTACATAAAATTGTTTATTTTTTATTTGTTAATTTCGAACCACAAGGAGAGCAGTCCTCAAAATTATCTTGAGGTAGTCTGCCGAAATGCGAAGGCGGATGATAATGTTTTTGCCCGTGTGTGTGTTTGTGTCTTTTAGCAAAATATCTCATGAACCACTGGACGGATTTTAACAAAACTTTCAGGAAATAATCACTTGTTTTACGTTTACAACTAATTAACTTTTGAAGGTGGTGTACGTTAAGACGGCCAGCGCAGCTAACTGAACATGTAAAACACAAAAATAGCTATAATTCAGCCACTTGTTCAAATATTGAGCTAAAATTTAATGCGGTAGTAGCTGACCTTCATTCGCAACACATTCTGAACATGGTATCACACAAGATTCTGCATCCTCTTATTTTCAAGGGTTGGTCAAAGCAACTAAAACTTTGTCTTTTCTCCCCATAAGATCATCTTAGTGTAAAACTCTGGCATGAAAGGTGCATTATTTCAAGGAATGCTTTAGTTTATTCTGTTCTCACTCTGCCAGTACCACGATCATCCATTTTCTTCTTTTTCGCCTGCTCCGTTCGTCAGAAGTTGCCACAACAAACTAACTCTCACAAAGACGTGTCGATTGTTTTTACGCTGGCGACCTTCCGATCGCAGGCTCGCCTTCTCTAACCTCTGTGCCACCACTCCCGCCTTTACTGTGATCATCCATAATGTTTCTGGGATTCTTGAGCGACATAAAGTTTAAAGGTTATTTACACAGAGCCCAATGGTCTGGATTAATTCATCAGAGGATATTCTCCCAAAATTTTTCAACCTGAGCTCATTAAATAAGTTTCTGACTGCTTGTAGTGACTCTAAACAACCTTAGCTCAAAAAAAGCCCGATTAAACACCTAATGAATACATTTTAATTCAGTATATCAATGTTTAATCGTATCAAATAGTGGAAAAAATTAGCTTAAACTCTTTATTGATTCAGCTCGTCAACCAGAGCACACAGAGCAGCAGGTGAGCGTGATCAGGTGGAGACCTCCAACCCAGAACCAGAATCTGTGGTGGAGACCACCTGCCTCTGCAGATCAGGGAGTGAGAGGTCAAAAGCACCAAGTCTGTAACAGCTGGGAAGAAAAACACGTTTCAGGTTGCAATCCACAAAAAAAACAGTCGCTTCACCTGAAACTCTGCTGAACACCATATAACTCGAGCCCATCTGTTTGACTGTGTGTTTGGTGGAGACTATGCTTTATTATTTATATATAAACATCCTTTAAAACTGTTTTTTTCTTTTGTAGTTAGTGGAAATGTCTGGTGCTTCAGTAAAGCACTTAATCAACAAAACAACATTTAGTATTTGAGGAATTCTTTAAGTGCAAGCAGCTTCAACATCGACCTCCAGAATGTGTTTATGTTTGTTTCCCATGAAGTCATTTGCACTTTGTTTTTGTGGATATTAGGCCTTTATGGTCTTACAGAACAGAAATCCAGCTTACAGTAATAAAAGCCTGATAGATTGTTGGAGCTAACAGAACATATCCTCCCCAAAGCAATAAAATATTCAAAGCCTTTTGTTGCAACAAGCATAAAAGCTCCTTTTATTCCTGGTGGTTTTTAACAACGGCCTTAAATCTGGACGGTTTGAAAATGTAGAAACGCCATTTTCTCCTCGCTTGTTCTGTGTTTATCTCAGCTTAAAAAGGGAAATCAGTGCTGTGATTTTAGCTACTTCATTCGTAAGCTTCATTTGAGGCGCATTATTTCGTCTTTTTTGTCATCATGAAGTTCTTTCAGAGTTAAAAAATCCACACTGAATGTAAGACTTGACACAAAAAAAGGCATTAGGTAGTCCCTCGCTGCTTTGCGGTTTGTTTTTCGCAGACTTGCTACTTCGCGGTTTAACAAAGTAAGATTGGACATGACACAATTGGCTGATTGATGGATGAGCCGCACGATTGGCATGGAATTTTTATTTAAAATAAATTATTTTAAATTATTTAGCACCTGTGTGCAGCCCAAGCTGCAGGAGAAGCTTCCTCCTGCGGCGTGCATATCTCCTCTCTGCAGCAGAGAAGTGGGCGTGGCCGAGAGCGCTGGCAGATGGCAGAGAGCAGCCGGAGGCAGAGAGCTGATTTCATGACATTCTGTGCTCTTTTAGAGCGTTTAGAGTTTAGAAACATTGTTTAGAATATTGCAAGAGTGTGGGAAGGGTTTATTTATTTATTAATGCCTAATATATATATGTATAATAAACTACTACTTACTACTTGTAATACTATTTGCGTTTTTTCACTTATCGCGGGACTTCAGGGTATGGATCCCCTGTGATAAATGAGGGACTGCTGTATTGTTTTAGCGCTATACAATATTAAATCTTTGAGCTGCTTTTAATGAATGAAAAAGCTCAATTTTATCTTAGTATTTATTTTAATACTGTTAAATCCATTACGCCTTTGAGTGTTGTATTCTGATAACCGCGCTCCTCGTGCATCAGCAAGGTGAAATAAAAAAGTCTCAGTTTGTTTCGGCTTATGGGGCTTCTGTTATTTGGGATGTTTGGTTCAAACAACACTTTGAAGTACTTTTATAACCCCAGCTGTTTTAAGGAAGCATGAGAGGCAATTTAAATGCCACTGCATACACAGATTTTATCAAACCAATTACTGTTTTGTTCTTTATAGGACCACTGCTTGTGGTTTTTACCAGCCTGTGTATTTATGATTCCTTCACCTTGAAGTCCTTAGTTCCCATTTGTGCTGTCTTTTAATTTCTTGCCTGTGAAGCTGCTCTGCTCACCGACAGCAGTAACAGCATCTACAGGTCTGCTACGAAACAGACTTTAGGCATGTTTTTGGTTCCAATCATCATGTGATTTATTGTATTTATTCTGTAATGTTGGCTATTAATTAAGAAACTGACTTTAAAGCTACATATTTGGTGGATAGCTTCAGCTCTATGTTTTTTTTTTTTTTTTTGAGGATTTTGGCAATAGCTCCTTAATTCTGGTCTTGCATGTATTTATATCAGGCTTTACATCAAACATCTGCTCGGGTATTATTTGAGTAACGTGCAGTTAGTTTTGATCAAGAAAATTATTGTAGTAGACATAGAATGGTAACCTGGAAGTTGAAGCCAGAATGGGACCAGCTTCCATGTTAGCTGATTTCAAAAGAAGTTTTAAGCCACGCCCCCTCAGTATAAACAATTAGGACATCATTGCCCTTGTTGTTGTGTTTCTGGTCACCACAGTGAGCGAACTCACACAAAACATTTGCTAATTGTTTTATGCTCATCTTGAGACATCGTGGGCTCGAACCTGCAGCCTCAGGATTACGAAACCATGGCACTGACCACTCAGCAACTGCAACCCCGGAACATTATTTTAGTTAAAAATATATTCATACACTAGAGAATTTAAAAAGAAAAAATAAGATGTTGACTCTTGTTGATTTATGTGGCTCTTACCTTTCCGCTGTAAGATCAAAAAATAATAATTTTAACACGCTGAGCTGTAATTAGTTGTTTTGTGCTAACAGTAAAGGTCATGTTACACCATGATCATGTGCGGAGGAGGAGGAGGTGGGACTAAACTCTGCATTGCTACAATCCAGACTCAGGTTCCAAAAAACAACATGGCAGTTTTCATAAAAACGATTCCTGCTGGCTTCAGTTGTCAACAACGAGAAGGCGGAAGCTCTTAGGTTACCATTACAGTATGATTATCATATTTTTCAACCTATAAGTCACATTTTTTTGCATAATTTACACGCCTTGCGATTTATACGCCGAAGCAACGTATTTATGGATGTTTTCCCATATTTATAAACCAATTTTTGGCTGAGATATGACCGTTTTCATTCTTTCTGACTGAAAATATTGAGCACTACCATTTTCAGCCACTAGATGGCACTCGAGTATTATGGCATGCCATTGTATCATGTAATAGGTAAAAGTGGCTATTAATGACGCAATCGACTTGCCATAGCCTGCCACCGTCGTCTGCATGGAACATTTGTCAAATTAGCTTAATTTCGCTGCGTCGCCCCAGCGAAATGAAGCTGATTTGACCATTAAAGTGCATTTATTAAGTAAAAGGTAAACTGAGACACACCTTCACTATAAAGTCGAGCCAACAAATAATTATTTTTAGGTGGTTATCTTGTTAAATTTTGAAGAAATGCACAGCGAGTCGCCATCTGTGTGTTCATCTTTCCGTGTATTGGCTTTTGAAAATGCCACTGATTTGACCATTAAAATTCATTTATTAAGGAAAAGTTAGACTGAGACACGCCTTTGCTATAATTTAGAGCAAACAAATAATTGTTTTTAAGTGTTAATCTTGTTAAATTCTTGTTAAAGTTCTCCCGTGCACGCCCCCGCGGCTGCCATTTGGCAGCCAATCGATTTTTGACACAACACCGGCCCACATTTCTGGGTTCGGCCCACATTCCTGGGTTGTCAGTGGTGACACGTAACAAACGCGAGGCATCAGCGATGACGCATAATAGATGTGACGTATACAGCAAAGCGACGTATACGGCAAAGCGACATATATATGTTTTTTTCCACTTTATTAGACATATTTAGACTGATGCGATTTATAGGGCGGTACAACGTTTATGGCAGGAAATACAGTACTGCAAAAACAAGATCAGCTTTATTTAAATTATTTCTTCACAAAGACAAAAAACTTTCCTAACTTAAAAAAATTACCTTTCTTACCTTTTAGTTAAAAAATTAATAAAAATTCCAAATGTATATCAAAACACATGCCTTTAGAAAAATGTAGAAAAGCTTTAATTCCTCTTTTCTTTCATCTCACATGTAAATAATATATGGAAAGTTTCTACATTCATTTAATACATTTTTTTACAGTTTCCTCATAATTAGTGCTTGCAGCTGCTGTGTTGCAGACATTACCAGTTTTATCCAGGAGAACTAAAGTAATTAACTGATATTATTAGGCTTCAAATTGTCGACTGGACACTATGTACCGTAATTAAACCTTTTGCAAAAACATGTAAAAAAAAAACGTTAAAAGCTTGTTTGTGCTCAGTTGTACAGCTTATTTCTCTTGCGCTAACTTCATCCACATTCCACACAGGAATACCATAAATAACATTAAAGTTTAATATTTATTTTGAACGTGAATGGCATTAGCTGCCTTGGAGTGAATAATTACGAGCGTGCATGGCTGCAGTTTCCAGTTTGAGAAAAAGCTTTTGAATCTTTTGATTCGGTGTCCCCGATTCTGGAGTCCAGAACCTATCCAAGATGCTGAGATGCACCAAATTTGATGTCATCTCTGACTAAGAAAGCAAAAAGGTCATTACTTTTGTTTGGCGAGAAAATATTAATGTGTTGACAAAAGGCTGCTAAGAAATGGGAATTCACATTTACATGGAAATGGGCTATTAAAATTCACGCACGCTCCTGTTCGTTGCTCCAAGACACAAACAAAACAATTGTCTTATCGCACAGCTGGTATTTTCTCCTCCTTTGTTCAGGTCCAGCTCCCTTATACTTCCTGGGTTTCCATATTTGTGGGAGCTATGATGTGGAGCAAATGTCATTCTCCATATTTGTTTCCATAAGTTTGGTTTGCATGCTCAAAGAAGGAAAGTGTTCGGTGGTTTGCAAGAAACTCTTCAGATAGTTGAGCATTACAACCATCAGGTATAAAATTGTTAAAATAAAAATGAAATAAAATGACCTTGTTCAGTTTCTACAAGGTCAAATGTTGTCCTCACCTGTTCGTGGGTGACAGGAATGAGCCTGTGTTTGGACAGCTCTCTCAAGACGTTGAGGTCCGTCCTCATGTCCAGTTTGCAGCCAACCAGCACCACTTTGGCATTCGGGCAGAACTCTTGTCTTTCGCCTTGCCACTGTGTGAATCAGGCAGACAAATGGATATCAGTACACAGACTTTACTGTAGTAAACATGTTTGTTGTTGTTTGACCACTATTAGTCACGTCATCTCATTTCCAAATGGTAAATATGAGTACTATTCTGTTCTTGCTGCTTGACTCCGTTTGGCTCGATTAATCATCTTGCAGAAGAAAATCATGCAACTAACAAAACCACTACCATAAACCTAAAAGCACATTTTTTCCCTAAATGTATAAATTAGAGCCTGACCGATATATCATCAGGGCCGATATTTTAGACCGATATAGGCGTTTGGGGACATATCCATCCATTCCATCCATTATCTTGTACCCGCTTCTTCCATTTTGGGGTCGCCGGTGCCCATGTCTGGCAATCACTGTGCGAGGGGCGGGGTACACCCTGGACAGGTCACAAGTCCATCACAGGGGACATATATCGGTGATAATTGTTCCATTATGTGCCGATATAAACACTGGGAATGAGCAGTGTCCTTACTTGTAAATGGCGTAATTGTACAATGTATCCAGTAGAGGGCGCAAGTGGACTACTTTCATGTCAGCACCGTTCATTTTAGCTTTCACTTTCACGTTCAGCACAGCCGAAGCAGGGAGCAACTGTGTATCATATTTTGCATGGTAAGTTTATTAAATCAGCAATAACAAATTCTCTTCAATCTTCCAACCTGCTTGTCATTAGGTACGTGCCTTTCAAGTTAGCAAGCTAACATTTCTATAGCCTAGCATAGGCTATTGCCTTGTAACATTTTATCCAGAACAATAAATCTAATGTAGATGTAAACAGATATCAGTGTTAGTAACATTATCTTTGGCATCCTCAATGAAATGCATAGTTTGTCTGGAATATTAACTTCTCTTCAAAGAAAAAAAAAACACACTGCTGTGGTCAAGACTAATTAGACCTTCACCATACATGACTGACTGTTTAAACAATGAACAGAGAAGGGTGTTTCTTTGTTTAATTTGTATTTATGTAACACACTTGATAATTTCATGGTGAATAGTGGAGAATAGAAAATATGAACACACATTAGGAAGAATGTTTCAAGACTTCAAGTGTTAAAACAGGTTTAAAAGTAGCCGTTTATTAGATTATTGGGGTGGATAAAGGTCAAAAAGTTTCAACCATTATATCGGTTATCAGTACTGGCAATAGCCACAATTTCCATATCAGTCGGCTCTAGTATAAACGATCACAATGAAGCATTAGAATGAATACAATCTTTATAAAATGCCTGAGAAATTGTTAAGGTCCTGTCTGCAGTTCTTAAACTGTCGATAACTTTCATTGAAGGCCTAGCATTCATTAAAGGAATGCATATCACCCACCACCTCTCGATTCCAAGTTTCACACTATCGATCAACCTTTCAAGTGCCAGATGAAGTGGCTGATTTCAGCAGCAATTGCAGACACAACATCCAAACCAAGGAAAAAAGTTTTGTAAAAATGTGTTTCGTGAAAGAAAACAGGACAAAAAAGTCTTTATCAAATAATGAAAACTAAAATGGTTTTATTCACACAAAACTAGAGTCGTGCCTTGTGTTCTGCCTCTAATGACGTTATTATTAACAGTTCAGAGCAGTAAATCTTGACGGGAACGTAAAGCTGGGTGACAAGCTGAAATCTCATATTTATATTTAATCTGTAGCCTCCAGATTAAAACCGTATATCAGATAAGAGTTAAAAACATATATATATATATATATAAACAAAATGCTAAATGAAAGATCTGGTTCAGTTTCTAGCACTTTAGAGAAACAAGCCAAGGAGTGGTCGTTCTATTTAAACTGTAGTCTGCAGCAACATATTAATAAACAGTCAATCTGTTTTCTGTCACTGAGCCATAGTTTGTCTGTTTTTAAGGAAAAGGGACAATAAACTACATAAAAACAAGATAATTAAAATCAAATCAAATTAATATTTTTTTTAAATACAGTTATTTTGTCACCTGAACCTATGACTTGAGCTTTAAAAGCATACTGACATTAAATTTAAGTGATTTGAAGATTGGCCTCAGCTACACAGATAGAAAAATCAGCAAACACAATTTATCTTCCTGCGATACTCGGCGTCGTTACTGCACAATGGAGACAACATTACTCGTGACCGACCGCAGACATGACTCACGCTATTAACGTGTTTTTTTCTGTTTCTCTCTGAGACTCCTTTCATTATCTCCTCAAACCACGGCAGAGACAGCATTCTGAGCTCCATTTGTTCTGCCTTACAAAGACGTCTCTTTTTGAATTTGTTTCTTTCTGGATGTTTGCTGCTGCAACGGGCCGTTGGGCAGAGCGAGCTGTAGCCTTTCAATGTTCTTCTGCGTGCAACTGGTGAGCAGCAGCAGTTTCCATGAGTCACAAAGGCGCTCGATGGGAAGAGCAGCTTATTGTCTGCGTTGCTGTTAAGAACCGATGCATAAAGCGGCAGAAGAATGCGAGCTGCTGGAGCTGAGAGTCTGGTTTATCAATGGAACAAAATGAAGCTTTGTTTTCTTTTCAGTGGCCTCGAATCACAGTTAGGTCGAAAAATATGTCTAAGTTAGGTCACTTACAAATAAGCCAATCTGGGAAAGAAGCCGACTTTACTAATATTTATTGGGATTTTAGATGTTTGAATCACATGCTCGTGAAATTAATAGGTTCTAAAACGATCAAATTACTTATTGTGTGAATGTTTATAAAGCCTTCATGCTACGGAGATCCGTTTTTCTTCTGTACGTTTTTCGTCACGTAACACGTTCCGCACTTTGTGCTGTTTGAACAGTTCATACGTCAAAACGTTCGGCTCATTCAGGACATTCCTGCTGTCACGTGAAATTTTGACTTTTTGAAATATTTCGCTTTTTCGGCCATGTTTTTCTCATTGAAACTGAATGGGGCTTCCCAACCTTTTACTGCTCATTTCAGCTCTTGTTCCGTTTCAGCTTCTTTCTGCTAAATTCAGCCTTTTCCTGCTTTTTCGGCTGCTTTTTAAAGATTCGTCTTCTAATTCACATCACACATCAGCGATGAAACCTTTTCAGTCTGTTTTTAACTTCTTTAGTAGCATTCAGCAAAAAACTTTCAGCAGTAAGCATTCACGCTGCATCTTCTCAGGAAATGCAACTTCTCTTGTATAATATTATAATAATAGATAGGAATGTATTTTATTGATAATAGGCTTGATTGACCATATAATGCTGATTCATTGAGAGTAAAGCTTGTTTGCACTGATTTCTGATGAAGAAAAAATGTTTAGTTTAATTGTGATTGTGCAAAGATTTCTAGTTATTTTGAGAAATTGAGTTTTATAAGCCAAAACAAGTACAAAACATGTTTTGTTTTCTAACAATAAGAAAACCGATAATTGTCTCAAACGAGCAAAAATTGTTATCTCAGGATAAGGGCTCAACATGAACAGGTCCTCTCTTGGCTTTCATGTGATGGATTACTGAAAAAAAAATCTGTCTCTGAAATAAATGCTTGAAAAAGAACTGAAGCAAAGATAGATTCAGCTGTACCTGAGGTGCTGGCACAGGCCAACAAACAAAACAGAAAAAACACGTTCCATATAAGAGCCGGACAAAACCCAGAAAAATGGTGTTAATGAGAAAAAAACAAGTCATAAAATACGTTTCAAGAGGTAAAAGCGTTGTATATACTGAGATAACATTTCACTCTGAGTGAAATATCCAGACAGCCTAACATGAGAGACACAGATTGATGAAGAGTTTGCGAACAAGCCGAGGAAAACAAGGCTGACAAAAGAAAGGAATAAAGAGTCAAGGGGTGTTTTGTAGCTGAGCAACGCCGAGGCAGAACAGGAGCTCTAAAGGGAAAATTGGAGGGTGCAAACATTGATTAGGCTGAAAGCTGTCAGAAATGGTAGAACACGAAGTCGTACTGCAGGGGTGTTATTTGTGGATGAAAGCTTGCAGATGGAAATCAGGTCCGAAGCAAAGAGAAAGGACACGAGATGAGACGGCACGTTAAACACTAAAATTAGATACTTAGGAGGTTACAAGAGGATAAATTCCATTTGTGTTGCCTTTAGACTTTGAATAAAGTCACTCCTCACTGTGTCACGTTGGCAGTCTGTGCATGCATTGTTAAATCAGTATTTTCACCACCATTTCTGGGGTCATCTAAAAGGGTTAAAGGTCAACGCACCTCTCCAGTGGACCCCCTGTAGGTGTGAGAACTTGGCCACCATGAAATGGGAGTGTTTTGTCTCGTATTGATGATGTCACTGATGAATGACGGCAGGAATGTGACCAAAAAAAGAGGTCAAATTCCACAACCTGCCACGTTCAACCATCAGCATTTAGAAACAGGTAAAAATTCATATTTCAGTAATAAATTTAAAAAATGTGCCACTTAAACACTAAGTTAATCTTTTTAACTCTTATTCTCATTGAATGCATTTTAAACTTTATCTGAAGACTCAACAGTATAGTTCAAATCCTGTAATATTGTCCCTCACATCATATTCTTCTTAAAATTAGCCAAAAAAAGCAAGTCAAAGACCAGCGGTTTGGGGGACTTCTTATTGCCAAAACGTATCGGTGTGCATACTTGTATTACTTTGTTACTTTAGGAGCAAAATGATCCTCCGCAGGCTGACTGATTGATTGTTTCACTTCTTCAAACATAATAAACAATACATGGGCAAGCTGAAGTTATAATTAGGATTTGGCAAATGTGGGCTTTAAAGTTAGAAAATAGATCTGCCTGAAAACAAAATCTTTATTAAAACTTGATATTTTGACAAAGCAGGATGCTAACTTTGATATCTCCAATTGCAAATAAAATTTTGGACATTTTAGCATGAAGTGAGGATAAGGCTGTGAGACATGCAACGTACCAACAGTTGACTCTATGTATGAATACTGGAACAATACATTTATTTAATGGGGTGAAAGAAGTATAAAGGAATAAAAACAAAAATTAAAAGGCAGCCATCATGAAATACTGTATGTTACACAATGCACAGTCTGCAAGATTATAATAATAATAATAATTTTAAAAAACAACTAAAAAATCTGCATTTTTTGGTGAAAATTAAGTATGAAAGCTGAGTTCTGAATGACTGAAACTTACTGAAAAAGCTGAAACTGAACTGACATTGAAAAAAAAAAACCACTAGCCAAAACTAAAAGTAGCAAAATGCTAGCTAGAGGCTAAACGTAGCAAAATGTTGGCCAAATGTATCAGAAGGCCTGCAAAAAGTCGCAACAATGCTAGTTATAAGAAGCAAAAATTAACCTTAAAGTAAAAAAGTCTAATTAAAAGTATCACAAGACTAGCTAGAAGTTAAAAGTGGCTAAATGTTGGCCAAAAGCTAAAAGTAGCATAGAAGATTAATATAATGCAAACATGCTGAAGCAGATTTGAATTAGAATGATATTTTTTAAGGAAATCATGCATTTCATGTGTAAAATATTTGTAAAAGCAGCACGGTGGCACAGTTGGTAGGACTGTTTGCTGTTGCAAGAAGGTCGCCAGTTCAAATCCCGACCCAGGACCTTTCTGGGTTGAGTTTGCATGTTCTCTCCGTGCATGTGCGGGGTTTCTCCGGGAACTCCAGTTTCCTCCCACAGACCAAAAACATGCGTTAGGCTGACTGATAACTCTAATTGTCCCTAGGTGTGAGTGAGAGAGTGAATGGTTGTTTGTCTCTATGTGTCTCGGTGGTGGACTGGAGACCTGTCCAGGGTGTCCCCTGCCTCTCGCATAATGACAGCTGGACATGGGCGCCAGTGACCCCCGCGACCAGAAAAGGAAGAAGCGGGTAAAGATAATGGATGGATGTTTCGAAAGGGTCGTTGTTTTATAAATAAATAATTCTGGAGCCAGTATAAAATAAATAAACTCATACAGTTACTGACTGACTCGTGTATTCAGGTAAATGCATTGAGCCAGTGTGTGACATGAAAAAAATTCACACTTGTGTTAATGTGACTCTGACCTTTTTCACCACGCTGTCCAGCGTCTCCGGACGGCTGATGTCAAAGCAGATGAGCACGGCGTCTGCGTCGGGATACGCTAACGGACGCACGTTGTCATAGTAGGCTGAACCTGCGGGCGAGGAACACACAGGGACATCAACAGATGGATTGCGTGTACTGTCGTTGGTTCGGAGACGAGTTCACTTTTTTGACTCAAAGTGAGTCATTCACTTCTGAAGTAGCAGCTATAATAAGTATAATTACCATAAACTCACTCTGCAGATGACGGCGACTGAATATGATTTATTGCTTCGTCTACAACCCCTGATCTGCATCTGACCTTACTGAATAAGCCAAAGACGGACATGTGACAGTGGTATAATGCGCAGCTCCCAAAGCGTCACCTGGTATTTCTGCATGGCACTTTTTTGTTTTGTTGTTCGGAGGCCCAGACTAAATGAGTATTGTGATCAGGGCAAAGAGACACATTCCTGTCCAGAGAGGAAAGCATTCCCTTTGCATTTCTTTTTCCCAAATTGTCTGCACTAAGTGCTTTTGTTGCCAAACACGGAGCTTTGGCAACGCAACAAAAATGTGTTCAACAATGGATTCCCGCGAATGAAACAAAACTCAATTAACAAGAACACTTTCAAGCAATGGGACGGGGGGAATAAGAGACATTATCACCCCTAGTTAAAAGCTAAAGGGTGATAATGTGTCTGGCATAAAAGTCAGCGGCTAATATGCATCCCTTCAATAAAGTTTTAAATCGTTCAAACATTTTCCACATCCCTCTTTGTCCTGATTGCAAGGCGAGTGTCAGGGAGCAGGGCCAACTCAGCGATGCACAAAAAATACAGCAAATATTTTCGTACTGTGGGAGGAAACCACACCGGGGGAAACAGTTGTATGAGAAAATAAAATGTGAACTGAACCAGACTTTCCTGCTGTGAGAGAAAAGTGTCCATTTTCATTCTGATTTTGTGAAAGACAGTTTTGGGTTCAGTATTCTGTTGTATTTGTTTCTCCTTCTACTTTCAGATGAGTTTACTTCCTGCTTTTGTGTAACACCAGGATTCATTTTCAGCACATCTGCAACAAATTTAGTCATTACCTTCCTCGCTATAAATAGTTCATGATCTTTATTTTTTACCGATGTCTGATCTTTGCTGCTGTCTTTTTTGTTTTAAAGGTCCGCTCCACATGTGAACAAGATAGATAGATAGATAGATAGATAGATAGATAGATAGATAGATAGATAGATAGATAGATAGATATATAGAT